AAAAGAGAAGGGAGTTTCTTTCCGGGGCTGACTAACAATCCTCCAAATAACATCAGTGATTCTCTTCACAGCTGTTTATGGGACACCATTCTCCACAAATTGGCTGCCACTTTCACCTACAAAATACAAAGTCACTGCACTTTGCAGTGAATCCTCTGAAGTGGTTTGAGATGTCCTCCTACTGTGCAAGGTGCTATCTCAAATGCAACAACAACAACACGATTGCATTTATAGAGCACCTTTCACGTCGAGAGGATGGGTGGGTTATTATTAGAGCATTAGAGAGTCCCATACTGTTTCCTGATGTGGCAAGATTATATTAGCTGCTTGAATTCCTTTTTGGTCAGCTGGGTGTCTGAGATGCATAAATCGTAGTGCTTAAGAGTATCCAAAACAGACTGAGAGTTCCACATATGTATGCCACGTACACACAAAATTTCTCATGTGTCTGGAATGGAATGTACGCTCAGTCTCCCCTTGGAGGGACGCCTCCTCCTAACTCTGGAAAGTATGATGCACAGTTTGACAAGAGACAAGGTTCGGAGACATCAAAGTGTGCATTGAGGGTACCCCTGGAGTTTAACCAGTAAAACAGCGCATTGGGAGCATTCTCTGGCAAGATTCCTGCTACTTGACTTTTGTTAAACTCCCGTAATCTTCCAGATTAATTGATTATTCACCTCATAGCTATTTATGGATCCTTGCTGGCAAAATTGGCTGCCACATTTGCTTATGAAAACAGTCACTGGACTTGACAGTAATTACGAAATGCTTTGTGAGTCACGTCTAAATAAGGCCTCCATAAAAAACACACAGATTCTTCACATGTTTCTGTTGTGTCAGTCTGGCTGAGTTGGGATCAAGGCGCACATCTGAATTTTCAATTGGCATACTGTATACTGACACTCCAATTTGAGAGGTGTCATCCTTTGGATGAGTTGTTAAACCTGTAGGAGTCCTGCAGCGTAGTGGCCAGAGCATTCGCCTCGCAAGCGAGAGGACCCGGGTTCGATTCCCGGCGGGTGAAATGATTCGACCGCAAAATATACAGTCAATTCATTTGACAGTATATTCTGTGAAGTGCTTTGAGACATCTCGAAGACGTGATCAGGCGCTAAATCAAATGCAAGGATTACTGTTATTATATTAAAGCAAGGTACCCGCCTGCTAAAATCTTAATGTCTAATGGTCGTTAAAAATCCCATGGTGCTATTCGAAAAGAGTTTCGCCTGGTGTCCTGGCTGATGATCTTCCAGAGACAATTTGTCTGTCATTTCATGGATGTTTGTGAGATGTTGCTGGGCACAAATTGGCTGCTGTGTTTGCCTACAAAATACAGTCACTACACTTTACAGTAAATTCTGTGAATTGCTTCGATGCAGCCTCCCGACATGATAAGGCACTATATCGTTCTTATAATAAGGATTATTATTAGTACAAGGATTATTGTTATTACAAGGATTATTATTGTACTTTTATTACAAGGGTTATTATTAAATCAAATGCAAGGATTATTTTGTATTTATTATTATAGTGAGTTTTATAAGAATGCTAGGAATATTATTGCTGTCATCATCTAGACATTCCTACATTCACCATAACATCACCAATATTCACCGCCATATCACCCATCTTAATTACTCTTGACATGATTCTAGAATAAAGGTAAGACCGGGTAACATAGTGCCTAAAACATATTGAAATTGGCACTGAGTAATTGTAGAACATTGTCCAAGGTTGGACCATGACCTCTGTAGATAAAGCCATTATGTATTTAATGGTGTTGCACTAATGTTCAGGTTATCAATAATGTAATACTTAATTTCCAAAATAGATTGGTGAATGAGAAGGCAGAGTTGGGGGATGGCGTTCATCAAGTGCCACCTCCTTGTCAATCCATCCTCTCTAGTATAAGAGAGTAGAATGGCCACTCTGTTAAATCACTATAAAACCATAGAAAGATGTGGTCCTATGAAGTATTTGGCACTTTCAAATTGGAAGACTCCTCTGTGGCCTCCTCAAAATTTACAACCCCAGTCACTCGCTCCCCTCAGCGTGCACCCAGCCTGCTTCACATTGCCCTGCCCCACCATTAGTTGTTGGGCTTTCAGTGTATCTGCTTCCAGTCTCTGGAACTCCATCCCGGAGTTCCTATGACTTGCTCCTTCCCTCAAATCTTTCAAGGTCTGCCTCAAGACCTTCCTCTTTGCCATCACTTTAGGCCACCTTTCCCCCTTCTCCCCTCCTGCCCCCAGCTCAGGTGCAAACCTTAGATTGTCCAGTATTTAGGGACATCCTCTTGAGGTGAAAGACACTGTATAAAAGAAAATTTCCATTGCATTGCATATATTTACAGCAAAAAAGGCCATTTGCCCCATCATGTCTGTGCTGGGGAGCCAATTCCATTTACCTGCCCATACCTGCATACCATTATGTTTCCCATTTATTCATCTTACGCTAAATCATGTGATTTTTTTTCTCTTTTTGTTATTGAGTGAAACCAACAGCGTCCTTAGAACACCTTCATATTTTTTTCTTCTAGAGAATCTTTGATAAACACAGTACTTGTGTTTAATATTCACTCCCCTCCCTTCATTTATAAAAAAGTGTTATTCCTGTTGTAGGCAGCTGAATTTGAAGACAATCTCGGATGAGATGTTAAACTGATCAAGTGGACATTAAAGATCCCATGAGACTATTCGAAATGAGAAGGGAGTTTCTCCCAGTGTCCTGGCCAACAATCCCCCAAATAAAATTGTCACTCACTCCATGGCTGTTTGTGGGACATTGCTGTGCAAAACTGGCTGCCACATTTCACCCACAAAATACACAGTCAATCTACTTCACAGTGTACCTGTGAAGCGCTTTGTGACGTCTCATTTCAGCCTTTACATTTTAAAACATTTGTATGCATTTTCCATATGATTGGCTGCCAATAATTCTATTGCAGTAAGAGCGGGGGAGTGGGACTAGTCAAAGAGCCTTTCAAAGAGCCAGTACAGGCACGGTGGGCCGAATGACTTCCTTCTATATTATAAAATTCTATGATTCTACGAAATAAAGAAGCTTGGAACTAAATCACTTGCTTTGAATGGGTGGTCCGCTACAATTACATCAATGTAAATATTTCGCCCACAAAATACATAGTCAATTCACTTTACGATATATTCTATGAAGCGCTTTGAGATGTCTGAACAATCTGATAAGTCGCTATATCAAATGCAAGGATTATTATTAATATCAAGCCCCTCTTTTTCTTTCTCACTTTTTTTGTTGGTGGGATGGGGTAAGATTCCTTGGATCTCAGCAAAGCCCCGCTTTCCACTGTGGAAATAAAGCAATGCATCATTGTACTTACGCTTCCCATAATTACCAAGCTAGGCTGACGAGTCTGCTTTCTAATAATAATCCTTGCATTTGATGATAGTGCCTTAACCAGTCATCGAGACATCTCGAAACACTCCACAGAATACACTGTAAAGTGAATTGATTGTATATTACATGGGAGAAACTTGGCAGCCAATAGCGCACAGCGGCATCCCAAAAACCAGTTGTGCATCGAGTGACCAAATCATTATTTTTAACCAGGAGTAACCTTACTGCAGTGTGTCTCTTCGCTAACTCCAGACAGGCAATGAAGAACACTGCTCTTCGCAACACGGACATTCATCGCTTTGCTTTAACAGCTCTCTGCGGCCGGAGAGAACACTTGCATCCCTGTTCCTTTTTATGGGTAGCCATCCTTCTGTAAATGAAAGCAATTGCCCTGACTCCCTGACTGACTGCCAGTAGCCCCAACCACTCAACAAAGGTCCCTCCCTTCCACCCCTATTAGTCCAGCCAGTTGCACTCCCCCACTCTCTGTCCTCTCCCATATTTTCTTGCTGGATGTTGCTGAGCTGCTTGGGAACTCGTGGGTGGTTGATGCCTCAGTCAATCTCAGGCTCTGTGTGTGTTGCAATCGTGTTAGATGGAGGCTGAGCCCAAAAATCCTTGGATCACATGCTTCCCACCATACATTTCATTTGTTTTTTTTGTGTGTGTGTGTGTCTGTGTGTGAAAAGCATCACCATTTCCACAAACTCGTGCCAATTCTCTCCTTGGTTCTGTTGAGCTTGCTCACTCCCACCCACCCACTTATTCCCCAGTTTTCCCCCTCCCCTCTCCCCCCTATCATTGCTACCAACACCCACCCATACTCATACCCACCCACATCCCATCCCACATCCCTGTTGAAGTCGACTTGAAGCCTTGCTATTTGCAGTGTGATCCGGATCACAGCACTGAAATAGCAAGAGAGGGACAGAGAAAGAAAGAAAGAGAGAGAGAGAGATAGAAAGAGAGAAGGAAACGAAACCATCAACGTGGAACATTGCATTATTGCAACAAGCAGCAAGATTTCCCTTCCAACCTGACTGTTCACCATTGCATTAACAGGAAGCTTGCAAAAGGATGGAGCTTGGCCATCAATTTCCTTGAGTGATATCACCTGCCTTTCTTTCTTTCCTTCCTCCCTCTTTATTTTTTTTCTTCTTCTTCTTCTTGCTCTCTCCCTCTATCCATCCATCCATCCTCCCTCCCTCCCTCCCTCCCCCTCTCTCTTTCTCTCTCTCTCTCATCGCCCTGGGAGTCTGGAGCACCGATGACTGGGAGTTGTGTATTGGATGTGAATGTGGACCTTATCTGAAATTGACTTAACCCTGGAGTGAAGGCAAGAGGGGAGAGCAACAAGACACACACAGGGAGAGAGCTACATGTTAAATCCTTCGCTGCAGCTGTCAGGCATGGCTCAGACTCATCCATCCTTGAAGCATCACTAGATTTTCTGTGGTGTTGTGTGGTGTGTGTGTATATATATGTGTGTGTATTTGAAAGATCAGCTGAGTCGTGTCCAAAAAAAAGAGACAGAGAGAGAGAGAGAGAGATACATACCATCCATAGTCCAACTACAGAGCCTCTTTCCACCCCCCCCACTCTCTCCCCTACTCCTCACCCCCCAAAAAAAAAAATCTAGGACGTGATCTGTTGTGAATTGATTTATTTACCATGTTGCTGAAAAGGTGAATGCAGTTGTTTCGAATGCATTGGACTTCAGAGGGATTGTGCTGCGTGCTATAAGTTGAGGTTTTTTTTTATTTAACCCATCGAAGACCAGTGGCCAAAATCACCCAGGAATGTGGACATATGAAGGAAGACGCTATTTTGGTATTCTGACAGTGCCTCTAATATTGGTTGCAGTTTTCTGCTGCGCTCAAAGGTAAGAGAAATCCATCTATTAGAGTAAAAAAATAAACAAGAAGGTGTTCGTCGATGATGTCTGGGGTAAAAATGTGAACCACTTTTTTCCCTTCTCCCGCTCTCATCCTCCCATTCTCCACCCCCCCACCCACCACCACTCTGTTTTGTTTTAAATTTGTGTGTTTTTTTTTCTTTTCTTTCCCCCCCCCACAGCGTAAATGAACCCGGAAACATGTCTTTTGTCAAGGAAACGGTGGACAAACTGTTGAAAGGATATGACATTCGGCTCAGACCGGATTTTGGAGGTAAGGATTTGCTGTGTTCAGTTGGTGCCACGTTTCGCCTACAAATATACACAGTATATTCAGTGAAGCGCTTTGAGCCATTTCAACTGCGTGAAAAGGCGCTATATCAAATGCGAGAATTATTATTTATTATGGTGGTCAAAAGGTATCCAAAATTATCAAATGCGAGGATTATTATTATTATCCTGTGAAGCGCTTTGAAACATCGCAATGACGTGATAAGGCGCTATGTCAAATTGCAAGGATTATGATTACTACCCCGTGAAGCGCTTTGAGACGTCTCAATGACATAAGGCGCTATATCAAAAGCAAGAATTATTATTATTACCCATGAAGCGCTTTGAAACGTCGCAACGACGTGATAACGCGCTATATCAAATGCAAGGATTATTATTATAAGGATGTGCCAAGGTGAGATGTGATATTTAATTCACATTTTTCTTCTCTCCCATTCCCCCAACAAAATAACGGACAAGCTGTGTCCCGAAAACAATACATCCATTTAACTTTTCTCTTTCCCATTTTGCACTCGAGGTCACCCGGTTGCAGTTGGAATGAACATAGATGTGGCTAGCATTGACCAAGTGTCCGAAGTTAATATGGTGAGTGATATTGGTAAACTTCCTTGTCTCTATTTTGCTGTTGTACAGGCTTGTAATGCAGAGCTGTTGTAATGTATCTCTCTCTCTCTAATTCGTATTGCTTGTCTTAAGTCGGATGCGTGGAAAAGGGAAAATATGGGAGTGTATGTGGGCAATGAGATGCCTTTAAGGTCAATTGTCATTGTATTGTGTGGGTCAGTTGTAGCGTTTGCTGGTAGAAACATGCTGTCGATCTGATCAGTGGTTATGAAAGGCATCGCTCTCCCTGACTCCCTCTCCCCTTAGTTCTCAGACAGCCACATTTAGATTGCATTGTGCCTGTGTGTTAGGAGTAGGTAACGCTTAAGGTTTGGATAACCAGATGCCATCTACTGGCAACATTTCCTCTTAGAATGCAAAAGCCTGTCTGTCTGATCGCGAAGTCTTGAAATGAGATGGTGTGTATATATAAGTGTGTGTGTGAGAGAGAGGGAGAGGGATCATTCTCTCAATGTACAGCCTTGCTTCCCAGTGAGGAGAGCCATTGAGTGTGTGGTTAGAGCAGTTTATTGAATGCATTGCTGCACTGAATTGAGACTAATGGCGATTCACTGTTTGCTGTCCATAGTCCTGAAACTCAGTATCCATCTGTGGGCTCAGAGCCAAGGACTCCAGTCCATCACAAGGCAATCAATCCATTTACTATTCCTCTCCGCATCGCTTTACAAACAGCAGTCTTCAACCCCCACCCACTCCCCCTCCCCCTTTAATGTTGCTTTTAACACTCCATAACTTACAGAGACTCTTCCGAAATTAAGGACCGAGTTCTTTTGTCCAACATGCACTGGGTTGCAAATGCCTAGTTTCAGGTTACGTGTTTTTAAAAGTGGATCACTTTATTGTTCTTATGCAATTCTTGAAATTACATTCATAAATCTGAAATGCAAGTGCAAGACTGGAATTCTGTTGCTGCTTCTGTGATTTTATTTCATGTGCAGTAATACTAATAAATACGTGGTTTAATAAGGCTGGTCAGTTGAAATCTACATTTATCTAGCGCCTTTCATGTTGGGAGTACATCCCAAGGCACTGGACAGTCCATGGTTTGCACCCGAGCTGGAAGTGGGGGAACTGAACATGAGGGAGTGGGGATGGGGGAAGATGGTCAAAAGTGCGGTCAAAAAGGACAGTCTTGAGACAAATTTTGAAGGAGGCGCGGGAAGGCGACTCTGGGATGGAGTTTTATATATATTGATGTGAAATAACTAACTCCTTGAGATTTCAATCCAAAGACTCCAGTTTGTTAGTTCGAAGCAAGCAAAATGTGAATTAATCTTAAGAATTGTATGCCACAGTAGAAATCCATGCAATTACGACTTGGCACAAATGACCTCAATTTGCAGTGTTTAATGTGACGTTCAATAGCAGTGGCACCTAATTTGCTGTATTTCTTAACAAGATTCATTAATGAGAATTCCTTAATGTGCGGAAATGAAGATTTCTTCTGGTAATCAGGAGTGTCACTGACACCTCCTGAAACTCTGCTCTGATCTGATCTACTTCCAGAGTGGGATTCCTATGAGTCAATGGGAATTCTAGGTGATTTCCTTAGTAAGAAACATTGCAAATTAGATCTCTTATTAACACAGCAAGAGATTCAGGTAGGAGTGCAGCATTGGTGTAATCCGGGTATAATAATCTCTTTTATATAAAATGTTTTTGGTGATTCAATCCACAGATGTTTGTGAGACACTGCTGTGTGCAATTGGCTGCCGCATTTCGCCCACAAAATATATAGTCAATTCGCTTTACAGTGAGGCACTTTCAGACATCTTGAAAACGTGATAATGCCCTGTAACAAATGCAAAGATTATTGTATAACTATGTAATGTGTGATTTCAGTTTTTAAAAGTTTTATTTTTAAAAGTTCTTTGGATCTTTTCCATATGCATCCATCTATTTGGTGCATTGAGTGTTATGACACTACTGTGATACCAGCATTTTTAACCCTCATACCTGCCATATTAATAACATTATTTGGTGAGACGTTCATGACGTTTGAGGACAACCATTTGGACTGTGAAGTTTATTTGCCAGGATTTCAGTGCACAAAAACAGTCACAATAGTTGATTACTTGAAGAAAGATCAATTGCAACATCAGAGCAAACTGGAAATGTGTTCATTTCAGTGTCGATTCCCCGAAATTAACATGGTATTGCTTTTATTTGTGATTTCAGCAGTAAGTAGGAACCTGGTTGTTAGTCAATTAGTGGATCGCTTTACAGGGGTAATAATCCTCCCAAAAAATTTTGGTTGTTCAATCCATGACTGTTTGTGGGGCACTGCTGTGCGCAGTTTGCTGCTGTGTTTGGCCCACAAGTATACAGTCAATCCACTTTACAATATATTCTTTGAAGTGCTTTGAGACGTCTCAACGGCGTAGTAGTAATAATGATAATAATCCTTGCATTTGATATAGCGCCTTATCATGTCATTCAGACGTCTCCAAGCACTTCACTTTGTGAGTGAAACGTGGCAGATAAGGCGCTATGTTAATTATTATTACAACAACAACAACAACACAACAAGATTCCATTTATAAAGTGCCTTTCACGTCAGGAGGACGTCCCAAGGCGCTGCACAGTTGGGTCATGACCCGAGCAGGGGGGAAATGGTCAGGGTGAGGGGAGGGAAGGGAGGGAGCGAGGAGGGGGAAATGGTCAGGGTGAGGGGAGGGAAGGGAGGGAGCGAGGAGGGGGGAAATGGTCAGGGTGAGGGGAGGGAAGGAAGGGAGCGAGGAGGGGGTAGAGAGTCGAGAGGAGAGCTGAAGGCTCGGTCAAAGAGAAAGGTTTTGAGACCGGCCTTGAAGGAGGAAAGGGAGGAGGCGGCGAAGGCACTGGGGGATAGAGTTCCAGAGCTCGGGGCTGAGAGGCTGAAGGGCGGTTGGGGCGGGGGACGTGGAGCAGACCGGAGCCAGAGGAACGGAGGGTAGGTAGGGGGATAGTAGGTTGGAGAGGTAGGAGGGAGCAAGGCCGTGAATGGCCTTGTAGGTGAGGATGAGGATCTTGAAATCAATCCTCTGGGGGATGGGGAGCCAGTGGAGGCGAGCGAGGGTGGGAGTGATGGGGTCGCGGTGTCTGGTGCGGGACAGTACACGAGCTGCAGAGTTCTGAATGACCTGCAGTGTGGAGGGAGGTGGCGGGAAGGCCGGCGAGGAGAGAGTTCCCATAGTCCAGCCTTGAGGTGACAAAGGCGTGAACCAGGGTTTCAGCAGCGTGAGGGGTGAGGTAGTGCCGTAGTCTGATGATGTTCCGGAGGTGATGGAAGGCGGTGCCAGTTGTGGTGCGGATGTGAGGGAGAAAGGACAGCTCAGGGTCGAACAAAACGCCGAGGTTCCTGACTGGCTTTGAGAGGTGGAGAGTGCAGCCTTGGATGCTGATGGTGTCAGCGCCTGAGGTGCGGAGGCGCTGACGTGAGCCAATCAGGAGGGCCTCGGTTTTTCGCACGTTGAGCTGAAGAAAGTTGTCTCTCGTCCAGGACTCGATGTCGGACAGGCAGCTGTCAGGACATCGGTGGTCGTGGAGTTGAGAGTAGAGGAGGAAAGGTAGAGTTGGGTGTCATCCGCATACATGTGAAGTTAACCCCATGTCTGCGGATGATGTCTGCGGAGGGGGAGCATATAGAGGGTGAAGAGGAGGGGACCGAGGACAGAGCCCTGAGGGACACCACATGAGACAGTACGGGGGGTGGAGGAGAAGCCATATTATTATTATTATCTTCCAAAACCAATGACAGGACCCTGTATCTCGCCTCAACTGTTGAAAAGCTTTAAATTCCACTGTCTCCATGGTAATTTCTTTCTGTGCTTATGTTGTGGCAAGATTCCCCTACAAAATACACAGTCACTGCAGTTTACAGCATATCCTGTGAATCGCTTTGAGATGTCTTGATGACGTGATAAGGCGCTGTACCAAATGCAAGGATTATTTTTTATTATTACAGATTTGGGCCGGGCTGAAACAAGTTGCTGAAGTTTCAGGTTGTTTCAGCTAGGCTGAGTTGCCAGTTCAAGGCAATATGTGGGTTCAGCCCAACAGTCTGAACTGGCTTCCAATACACTGCTGGGGGGAGCTCTACATTATTGGTGGTGCTGTCCTTCAGATGAGATGTTAAACTGAGGTCCCGTCTGCATAGTCAGGTGGACGTTAAAGATCCCATGCCATTACTCAAAAAGAGAAAGGAGGTTTCTTCCAATATCCTGGTCAACAACCCCCACCGCTCATTTCATGGCTGTTTGTGGAGCATTGCTGGGCACACATTGGCTAATGTGTTCACCTACAAATACACAGCAAATGTTGGTGAAATGTTTTGAGGCATTCCCCTGTTGTAAAAGGAGCTATATCAAACACAAGGATTATTATTCGGTTTATTCGCAGTGGCAAACAACAGCAACCAATTTCATTTGTAAGGCGTCTTTCATGTCGGGAGGACGTCCCAAGGTGCTGGACAGTCAGGGATTTGGACCCGAGCAGAGGGTTGGGATCAGAGTGGGGGGGGAGGCGGGGAGGGTAGGGTAGGAGAGTGGTCGAAGGCGTGGTCGAAGAAGAGACGTTCTTTAAAGAAGGCAGGCAAAGGAGGGAATGAGACGAAAGAGACTGTGGATCAGAGTTCCAAAGAGTAGGGGTAGAGAACCTGAAGGCCTGACCCCCGAATACAAATTGGTAATATTTTCCGAAAGTCGCATAAAAGGAGCTAAGCAGTTAAGGTGCCAGCTTGCTTGGATTGGACACAGTGCCTCAGAAAAAAATGTCATGGCTGTGTATGCGAAGGTGTATTCCTGAGATGGTAGTTCTGGGACAAGCCCTTGTCTTGTGTGGATATTAAGATGAGAAACAGCGTTGTCTTTCTGAGTATTGTATATCGCATTTCCCATATTAAGTTACCAGAAGTCTTTCTCTACTGATGTGACTTTTCTTTCGAAAAAAGGCTTTTCCTCCCTTTTATCTAAAACCTGAGTGAT